AATCAGCTAAAATTTTAGGGCCAGTGTGATAGTATAAATCTCCTGGGAGACCCAGGCACATGGGGAGTTCACACTAAATTCACAGGCCATTTTCCACATACCTCCCACCAGCTGCTCCCAGAAAATACTGGAGCAAAGCAGAAGACCGGAAGGCCCTCCCAGAGGGTTGCAGACACACAGGAAAAGACACAGGTAAACATGCACTGTGTCTGGTGGTAAAAGGGAGGAAGAAGATAGAAACCTACAATACTTCTCTCCTTTGGGAGTAGGGCAGGAACTATCCTAAGCCCAGCATCCTGTACCAATCAAGCCAGAGAGAAAGGCTAGGAAACTTCCCCATAAGACATACAAAAGACAAGTGGTGCCATAAAGAGAAGGAAGAGAAATGCTGAGAAAACCCTAACCCCTAAGGTCCTGCTGCACTGGGCCTACTTAAGACTAGGGCTGAGGCTGGGCATAGTGGCCTCATGCCTGTAATCCCAGCACTTTGGGAGGCCGAGGCAAGTGGATCACGAGTTCAAGACCAGTCTGGCCAAGATGGTAAAACCCCGTCTCTACTAAAAATGCAAAAATTAGCCAGATGCAGCAGCGGGTGCCTGTAATCCCAGCTACTGGAGAGGCTGAGGCAGGAGAATTGCTTGAACCCAGGAGGCAGAGGTTGCAGTGAGCCAGGATCACGCCACTGCATTCTAGCCTGTGTAACAGAGCAAGAAGCCATCTCAAAAAAAAAAAAAAAAAAAAAAAATTAGGGCTGGATTTATAAAAAAGACTCCCTCCTACCACCCAGCACAGGGAATGGAAGTCTACTGCTAGGAAAGGGGGCAAAAGAGTGACCCGACCCACCCCTGCCACTGAGGCACAGCTGCACAGGGAAGGCATAAAACTGAGCAAGGAACAGGAACACAGAAAAACCCTCCAGCAACCCAGCCCCCACCCTAAGAACAAGATAACTACAGAAATTTGAAGCTGGTGGTAACCATGGCAACAACAAAACCAAAACCTAGCTCAACTCCTGACTAGATTGACTCAACACTCTGACAGATGAAGAGGCATACCTGTTTGCAGGTGTAAATATTATTTACGTCAGTCCCTACACAAGAGATAACGGCATTCAGATATCTGACATAAGCAAGAAAATAAACCCACTGTCAAGAGAGAAACAAAACCAGACTCAACCCAATGGGTGTTTTAAAAATCAGGATCTGCTACTGGCAAATAGAGGATATGCACTTGCACATACACAGGGGAGAGGGGAGAGCCAGAAGGAAACAGACAAGAGAAGCTAGCACATGCTCCTCTACTCCATTCAGATATGGATGAAAAACAAATCTAGCCACGAAAAAAACATTTTTTAATCTTCCCCAGACAGAATTGACATTTCATCTGTGATCACACAGCACTTGATCCAATCCCCTAATATGACAGTTAAAGCAGTCATATCAATCAGAAGTTATATCACAGATATGTGTTAATTCATAATATATGTATATCATATTTGTAATATAATAATATAGAGAGAGCTTCTACATATCAATAACAAAAAATTAGAATAGGACATGAAGAGAAAATTCACAGTAAAGAAAATATAAATGGCTCTTAAACACATGAAGAGGTATACAACCTCATTGATAATAAAAGACAAATATAATGATGCTATTACCTATAAAATTGTCAAAGATGAAAAAACTTGACTATACTACACATGAAAAAATAGGCATTCTAATAATACTTGCTGGTAAGAATACTTGCAAGATTTCTATGAAGACAATTTGGTATTTCCTATCAAAATTATTAATGCAAACATCCTTTGAGCCAACAATTCTATTTCTCCAAAGTTTACACTACAAGCATATTCATTGTATTTGACAGGATCTATATGCATGATTATTCACTGCAGGATCATTTGTAATAAAAAAAGACTGGAAAGAAAAATGTGCATCAGTAATAGTTACATAAATCATGCACTATATCTCACACAATAAAATGCAGTTAAAATGACTAGACAGCCCTATATAAAACTATTTCCAAGATACACTGTTAACTAAAAAGCAGGCAGTATGCAAAATTAGTAGGTATAGTACACTACCACAGAGGTAAAACAAAAATAATATATCCATGTACTTACATATGCACAGACCATTACAAATGAATGGCAAAAGGACCGAATGGGAAGAAGACCAACTTTTCACTACATACTACGTATACTTAGCATAAATATCTTCTATCTTTTACCATGAATTATCTTTTATCTACTCACAGAGTTAACCAGCTCATTTCAATTAATTCATTTAAAACAAAAAGCAATTGTTTATGTTGCTGTCGGTTCACTGTGAAAAATCTCAAAGACAGAGGAACAGAATGTGTGCCCTGTTCATCTTCGTATCATCAACATTTTGCAGTGCTAGGTCTATGGCAGATGCTCAACAAAGTATGCTAAATAAGAGGCAACTGCACGAGGCGTAGTGACTCACGCCTGTAATTCCAGCACTTTGGGAAGCCGAGGCGGGCAGATCACAAGATCAGTTCAAGACCAGTCTGGCCAACACAGTGAAACGCCATCTTAACTAAAAATACAAAAAGCCTAGTGTGGTGGTGTGTGCCTATAATCCCAGCTACTCAGAAGGCTGAGGCCAGAGAATCGTGTGAACACAGGAGGCAGAGGCTGCAGTGAGCCAAGGTGGCTCCATTGCACTCCAGCCTGGGTGACAGGGCAAGACTCCACCTCAAAAAAAAGAAACAAAAAAAAGAGGCAACTGACGCACAGTTGCCTGATATTCAATTAAGTTTACAAAAATAAAAATATATTAAGCAAAAATTTACAGTCAGTAAAAACTTTCAAACCTTTAGTTTTTGTTTTGGGTATCACATAACCTAAGGGCTGTATTTTAGCAAATTTCATTATAAAGTAAGATTTTTGTAGATGGATCTCCACTTTACAGATCCTATCCTCCAAAGCCAATCATTCTATTATTATATACTAACCATGAAGAGTGTGATAGTTCTGAAGTCAGACAATTTAGGCTGAAATCCTTTTTCCAACACATTCTAGTTGTGTAACTGAACATATTCAAAGTTATCTTTCATTCCTTCATTTGTAAAACACTTAGAATAGTATCCATACATCAGTGTTGTGAAATTTAAATGAACTAATACATGATGTGTGCTTTATATAGTGCCTAGCACAAAGGTAGCATTCTGTAAGTTTTAACTATTATTATCCCAGAGCTTTTTAACAAGAAACCAGTTCCTGCTCTTGAAATACAAAGTTGAGAGAACAAATTTCATTCCTTTACATTTCTACATGTTCAAACTCTACATAAAATAAATGTATTTTATTTTATTTTATTTTTGGTACACAATCTCCTCTGTTGTCCAGGCTGGAGTACGGTGGCATGATCTTGGATCACTGCAACCTCTGCCTCCCAGGTTCAAGTGATTCTCCGACCTCAGCCTCCCAAGTAGCAGGGATTACAGGCACACACCACCATGCCAGCTAATTTTGTGTTTTTGGTAGAGACGGGATTTCAGCATGTTAGCTAGGCTGGTCTCGAACTCCTGACCTCAAGTGATCTGCCTGCCTCGGCCTCCTCCCAAAATGCTTGGATTATAGGCATGAGCCACCATGCCCAGCCAAAAATAATATAAAGTTATACCCTTATATACGATGCAAATCTGAAATCTTACTACGTAATCATAGTACGGATAATCCTCTAACACATGATGTATAAAAAGCACCTAAAAGGGATTATGGGAACGCACCACCATGCCTGGCTAGTTTTTTTTTGTATTTTTAGTAGCGACAGGGTTTCACCATGTTGGCCAGGCTGGTCTCAAACTCCTGACCTCAGGTGATCCACCCACTTGAGCCTCCCAAAGTGCTGGGATTACAGCCTGTAATCCCAGGTTTGAACCCAAGAGTAGCGCAGCATAGCACAGCAGAAGAGAAGAGAGTATAAAATAAAATAAATTTATATTATTTTATGTAAAGTTTGAACATGGAGAAATGTAAAGGAATGAAATTTGTTCTCTCAACTTTGTATTTCCAAGAGCAGGAACTGGTTTCTTGCTAAAAAGCTCTAGGATAATCATAGTTAAAATTTGCAGAATGCTTCCTTTGGTGCTGGGAACTACACAAAGCACACATCATATATTAGTTCATTTAAATTTCACAACAGTCTGTGAAGTATAGACACTATTGTTAAGTGTTTTACAGATGAAGGAATGGAAGCCCAGATACTAGGTAATATGTTCAAAGTTACACAATTATAATGTGTTGGCAAAAAAATCTCAGCCTAAATTGTCTGACTTCAGAACTATCACACTCTTTATGGTTAGTATAAATTACAGCCCATAATCCGAGCTACTGGGGAGGCTGAGACAGGAGAATTGCTTGAACTTGGGAGGCAGAGGTTGCAGTGAGCCGAGATCGTACCACTGCACTCCATTCCAGCTTGGGCAACAGAGCAAGACTTCATCTCAAAAAAAAAAAAAAAAAAAAAAAGCACCTAAAAGGAAAAAAACGTAATTTAAAGAACAGAAAGAAATACATACACAGAGAGAACCTTAATTAAAATTCATTAATTGCAACAGTGGGTTCTGTTCTAAAAAGGCAGTGATAGTATACTAGAAAAAGCTTTGGTTCTGGAATAACTCTATGGATTCAAATCCTAGCTCTAATATTTAGTAGCTCTCTGACTCTGGGCTAGTCATATAACCTACCAGTGCCTCGATTTTCTTCTCTATAAAATGTGCATAATAACAATTGTTTCCTCATTAGGTTGCTGTTGGGAATAAGTTAGTTATTGAACGTCAGTGTTTAATATATGTTAAGTACTATTATAATATGTCTTATCTTTCCTTCAGAACTATAAGGTCGATGAAGCAGAAACAAATAACTTACAACTATATGACCTTGTAAATCTTCATGGAAGTAAACATGCTTTTCAAAAAAATAAAAAATAAATGACAGCAAATGAAATAATAACTAAAAGAATACTTACTTTGCAGCAGCAGCAAAATGTCTGTTGGGCACCTGAACATTTACCGAACAAGGACAAAGTGATATCTGATAAAGCACCTTGAAAAGGCTATGCCTTTGATGATGTATCAATGCTTGAAAGGAAAAAACATGTACAATATTAACATTAAACAATCATTATATTCACAGTTTTTTAATTTTACAAATCAGTATTTTCAAAACAAACACATTCAATATTTTGTAATTTTTAATCCTTCTTTTAAAAGTCTAACAATAGAAACCATAGTTCTTGAAACTAAAAGCAGGTAAATACACCTAATATTTGAACGGTCTTTTTTATTTTTTTACATACAGACAGGGTTTCACTCTGTTGCCCAGGCTGGAATGCAGTGGCATAAACATAGCTTACTATAACCTTGAACTCCTGGGCTCAATTGAGCCCCTCTCCTCAGCCTCTCAAGGTTCTGGGGTTTTCAGTTATTTTTAACTTCATTTATTTCATATTCATCAGAGCATGTTAGCTCTATTACTAGGGAACATGTATATAAACCCTGAAATTTTTTAAATAATTTACATTTTATGGCCGGGCATGGTGACTCACACCTGTAATTCCAGCACTTTGGGAGGCCGAGGCGAGTGGATCATGAGGTCAGGAGCTCAAGACCAGCCTGGCCAAGATGGTGAAACCCCGTGTGGTGGCAGGCACCTGTAATCCCAGCTACTCAGCAGGCTGAGGCAGGAGAATCGCCGGAACCTGGGCAGCAGTGAGCCGAGATCAGCCACTGCACTCCAGCCTGGGAGACAGAGTGAGACTCTGTCTCAAAAAATAGTAATAATAAATAATAATAATTTACATTTTATTTGTTTTTTAAAAAGATGAGACATTAACAGAGTTGCCCAAGTACTTCTGAAGATAAAACAAAGTTGGGCACTTGAGCTGCCAGAAATAAGAAAAAGGTACACAAGTCTTCAAAGGTATTATTAATGTTCTATTTTTTTAAGCTTAATAGCAAGTATTAAGAATTTCAAGCTATTCTTATTCTGTGTATCTTAAATACATTCTTTTGCATGTATAAATATTAGAAATATGTTTTTATTTAAAGATTACAAAAGTAAAGTCTTCTGCCTACTCCTGGACCCCAACTTCTCTGCCATGCTACCAATACCTTACACATCTTTCTAGAAACATTATATAAACTATGGGTACCAAGCCAGGTACAGTGGCTCACTCCTGTAATCCCAGCACCTTGGGAGGCCAAGGTGGGCAGATTACAAGGTCAAAAGATCGAGACCATGCTGGCTAACACTGTGAAATTCCATCTCTACTAAAAACACAAAAAATTAGCTGAGCATGGTGGCACACACCTGTAGTCCCAGCTACTCAGGAGGCTGAGGCAGGAGAATTGCTTGAACCTGGGAGGCAGAGGTTGCAATGAGCCAAGATCCGAGATCGCACCGCTGCACTCCGGCCTGAGTAACAGAGCAAGACTCCACCTCAAAAAAAAAAATATGGGTATCAATATATTTCCCTCCTTTTTCATAAAAATGGTAGCATACTCTACTCACTACTCCATCTTGTTTTTACACATAAAGGTATTAGAGCCTATTTTCACAAATATACACACATATACATATAAGATGTAGAAGAGATTTTATATGTGCCTTTCATAAAGGTTTATATACATGCATATATTTGAGAGACCATTGCATATCATTTATAAAGATTTTATTGCCAGGTGTGGCGGTTCATGCCTGGAATCCCAGCACTTTGGGAGGTCAAGGCAGGCAAATTGCTTGAGTCCAAGAATTTGAGACCAGCCTGGGCATCATGGTAAAACCCTGTCTCTACAAAAAAAAAAAAAAGAAAAAAGAAAATACAAAATATTAGCCAGGCATGGAGACACACATCTGTAGTTCCAGCTATTTGGGAGGTGGAGGTGGGAGGATTACCTGAGCCCGGGTGGTTGAGGCTACAGTGAGCTGAGCTGTGGTTGCCTCACTGCATTCCAGCATAAAGGACAGTGAAAACCTGCCTCAAAAAAAAGCAAAGTAATCCACCATGTGGCTATATTACAATTTACTTAATCAGTGACCAACCTGTAATATTTTGCTATTATCAACAGTGCAATATGAGTAACATACAAACGTCATTTTGCACAAGCATATTTCTAGAATTTCTAGGCCAGGTGCAGTGGCTCATACCTGTAATCCCAGCACTTTGGGAGGCCAGGGCAGGTGGATCACCTGAGGTCAGGAGTACGAGACCAGCCTTGCCAACATGGCGAAAACTTGTCTCTACTAAAAATACAAAAAAATTAGCCAGGCATGGTGGCAACTGCCTGTAATCCCAGCTACTCAGGAGGCTGAGGTAAGAGAATCGTTTGAACCCAGGAGTAGGAGATTGAGGAAAAAAAAAAAATTCTAGAAGTGAATTTGCTGACAAAGAATATAAACATCTGTAATTTTGATAAATGCTGATCCTATAGTAACAGCACTATATACATTTCCCACCAGCAATGAAAAGACCACTTGTTTCCACGCAGTCATGCCTTTTTTGAGACTGAGTCTTACTCTGTCACCTATGCTGGAGTGCAGTAGCACAATCTCAGCTCACCGCATCCTCCACCTCCCATGTTCAAGCGATTCTCCTGTCTCAGCTTCCCAAGTAGCTGGGATTACAGGTACATGCCACCATATCTGGCTAATTTTTTACATTTTTCATAGAGACAAGGTTTTACCATGTTAGCCAGGCTGGTCTCAAACTCCTGACCTCAAGTGATCTGCCTGCCTCAGCGTCCCAAGGTACTGGGACTACAGGTGTGAGCCACTGCACCCAGCAACACAGTATTAATACATTACCAAATGTTTTGTTTACTGCCAACCTAACAGATGAAAGAGTTGCATAATTTGCATTTTTCCAATGAGTTAGGCTGAGTATGTTTTCATCTGTTTGGCCCTCTGTATTTTATTTTCTGTTGAACTGGCTTGAACTCAATATTTAAAATGAATACTCTGCAACTAGATTTTCATGTAAAATGACTTTTCCATTAGCTTAAAATTCAGTCCATTAGACAAAATCTTACAAAAATTCAAGGTATAGAAATTGTAAGATGTGGTCTATGTATCAAGTGAATTCATTTTGGGAAGTTAAGTTTCCGAGTGTACAGTATTGTGCATGCGGAATAATTACAGAATCCTTACTACGGTCCAAAGGCTCTATGTGAGCTGGCCCCTGCCTACCACGTAATAGTACTCTCCCACTTGCTCACTGTGAGCCCTTTTGCTTATCCTTAAACCTGTCCAGGTATAACAATTTCTGCCGCAGGGCATTTGCATTTAATGCTACATTTGTCTAGGATGCACTATCTCCAAATCTTTCCATGGCCTGCTCCTCGTTTTTGTTTTTGGTTTTTTTCCCCTTTTTGAGACAGGGTATTGCTGCTTCACCACAGGATGAAGTGCAGAAGGACGATCACAACTCACTGCAGCCTTGACCTCCACGGCTCAAGCAATCCTCCTGCCTCAGCCTCCTAGGTAGCCAGGACTATAGGTATGCATCACAAGCCAAACTAACTTTTGAGTTTTTTGTGGAGACTGGGTCCCACTATATTGCCCAAACTCCTGGGTTCAAGGGTTCCTCCAGCTTTGGCCTCTCAAAGTGTTGGGATTATAGGCATGAGCCACCATGCCCAGCCTACTCCTTTTAATATCAGCTCAAATGTCATTAAAGCTACATGCTTAACAACTCAATTTCATCTCTAATCTTCCAAGCTGAAATACAAGATAATCACCAAAACTGTGAATTCTGTGAACATATATATAGGAGTGACAGCTGAGGCAGTGTAAGAGACCAACTTACCATTGAGAACTCTTTGCAGCAGAAAAGCCACAAAGGGCTACAATGGCCAGGAAGAAAAATTGAAACAGACTAACAGGTCCAGTTCCTGTCCTCAAGAATCTCAAATTTACTGGGCCATGCTGTTTTGCAACAGCTAGAAGAAGATGCTGCACATTTTTAAAGAAGCCAGTTATCTTGAAAAATCACATATGGTAACTGAAGGAAAAGGAAATTACCCATTCAAAGCTTGGCAAACACTTCCAAGCAATTCTAGCTATACTAAACAAGAACCTAACAACCTTGGAAATCCCAAAATAGTAATTATCTTGGGGAAATGAACAAAAAAATCTCTTGAACACATCAACTGCAATTTGCTATATTAAAAAATCAAGGCCAGTCATGGTGGCTCATGCCTGGAAGCCCAGCACTTTGGGAGACTGAGGCAGGAGGAACCCTGGAGCCCAGGAGCTTAAGCCCAGCCTGAGCAATAGAGCGGGACCCCATCTCTACAAAAAATTAAAAAATTAGCCAGGTGTGGTGGTGCACGGCTATAGCTCCAGCTACTCAGGAAGCTAAGTTGGGAGGATTGCTTGAGGTGGCAGGATCGCTTGAGCCAGGAAGGCTGATGCTGCAGTGAGCGCTAATCTCACTACTCCACTCAAGCCTGGATGACAGAAAGCCCATATCAAAAAAACAAAACAAAACAAACAACAAAAAACAAGCAAACAAAAACATTACTATCAGTAATTACAGACAAGACAACAAGAAATTACAGTTTTCAACAGAAACCAAACTGCTATAGACCAAAAGAAACCAAATACCGCCTTTTAAATAGCAGTGTTTGATCATGATATCCGTATTTTCAATCCTTTTGTAGTCAATTTGTCCAGCTGTATTATTTTATCTCCTTTATTAATACACACTTTTCCACTCACTCTTAGCATATAACCTCACTTGCTACTTCAGAGAAAACAGCCCTCAGAACTTCCTGAACTACTGAGTCTCCCTGATCCTGTGCTCATGCTCAAAAGTCTCTCCCACTGCTTGGCAATGAGATAGAAACAACTCCATCTCCTTTCTTATTCTCTTTTAAGATAGTGAAAGGTTAGAGTTCCCTTGAGGTCAGTCCTAAACTGACTTCTCACCTAATTCTAACCCTCACTCTCCTTAGGGGATCTTATCCATCTATTCTTGCCTTCCTGCCACAACTATCACAGGCTAGGCCACCATCACCTACCATCTGGATTATTGCAACAGACTCTAAACTGTTCTTTCTTCTACACTTGGCCCTCTCAT